TTATGGAAACATGGACACAAACACAGTAACACAGACAACCACATCTGCATTTGAAAACATGGTTTCAGGTTCTTATTGCATAATAGCGAATAGGGTCAAGTGTGGCATTGACTCCTCAGTTCAGTAGCATTTGACAGTGTCTCATTGGGCTCTTTCTGTGAGTACTTTTCTAGATTTTCTAATGTGTTTTTTGCCATTTTATTGAAACTAAAAATAATACAAACTAAAGTATTTATAAAATATTTTTATAAAAAATGATACATATGCTAAGGCTCATTTCTAGTTGTCATTGGCCAAAACTGCTCGATGTCTAACACAGATGCCTCGGGATACATATTTACTGTTTACAGATGACACGCTACTGGCTTCATGGAGCGAAGACCTTCAGCTCGTACTGGATTGGTTTGCAGCTGAGTGTGAAGTGCCTGGGATGAGATTTAAAGAGGCTTTGATTCTCAGCTGGGAATGAGTGGAAACAGCATCCTAAGCTGGGAATGAGTCGTTGCCCCAAGTGGAGGAGTCTCAAGATTTTGTTCAGGAGTGATGAGAAAGTGGAGAAGTAGATTTACAGTTGGACCGCCTCAATGCAAATCTGTTGTGGTGAAGACGGAGCTGATTTCTGTAATATTTGTTGTCTGTAGTTATTAATTTACTTGTTTACACACTGCCTGATTCTGTTGTGTTACAAAGAAATATGGCCAACAGGCGATGCAGCACACCCTCTGGTGGACAAACTATGCAATCTCAACACTCATGGAATGCTTCTTCCATCTCTTCTTTACTTTTCAATTTTTAATTTATCAGCTGTTATAAATACCATGTCAATAGATAATTGACAAATATCTACCACTGGTCAGTAATATTAGCCAACTGATTAATCAGCGGGGTTTAGTTTCTAGCCTAAACACTGGTGACTCGTGGGTCTGGGTGTCTTCTTGAACTGTAGCCCCCTGAAGATAAACGGTAAAATTAGTATTTATTGATATTTAACCAAAAGAAATAAAAAGTACAATTCAATTTTCAAATGATCCAGAAAGATTTTGGAATTAAGTCCCGACCTCTATTATGTATCTTTATCTTTCTAGATGTTTATCAAAACTTATATACTTGACTAGAGTCACGATTTTCTAGATACGATTTTGTAGGGTTTTTCTAATTAAAGAATACAAGCTAATATACAAATCACTTTTAATTTTTTTATTTACATTTTTATTACCACTGCTTTCCTGTGAGCTGTGGTTGATGGTTGAGTGCTTTGCTAAAAACATGGCAAATAAGTTCTGCCACTCCAAAAGCTTTACATGGATCCAGCACTTCTTCTTATCAAAATCCCTTATAATCTGGATCCCTTCATTCCCATTAACAGCCCCCACCCCACCCCGCTCGCACTCCTCCTGGCTTCTTGTGGCATTAATCACACCACATACAGAGGGTACACTCCGCGCGGTGAAAGCTATGACTCCATGTCTGTGTATGAGGGAGGATGCTCAGAGCGAACCCATCCTTCCCAGACGCCAGTGTGAAGTAACAGTCTGCGCGTTGTTCTCCGCTCTGGATGGTACTGGGATGCATTTTGGAAGAGGGGTCGGGCAGCAGCGACCCACCAGCATCCGAGCCTGACATGAATCACAAGTAAAAGAGCTCTTTCAAGCAAGTGAAGAGCACATGAATGTGCACAAGTCCGCCGAGCTGCACTCGGGCTTCTCACAGCGACATTTTGGACCTTTTGGACCTACCTCGATTTGTTTGTAAATACTCAAACCAATCACAGAAGACTTTAGATGGTCACTGAATCAAGCCTATTTTAATATCTTTTCTAATTTTCTTTTTTTTTTTTTTTTTTTTTTTTTTTTACGTTTTGGGTGGGGAGTTTGGTTTGTGGGGAGTGTGTGTGCGTGGGATTTTTTTTTCTTTTGTCAAGCGCGAAGACAAACTTCTACCATGGCACTGGTTATGGAGCCCGTGAGCAAGTGGAGCTCTAGTCAGGTGGTTGACTGGATGAAAGGTAAGGCATCAGACGCGATGACCATTAAACTGCTGCGCTGCAGTGAATCGCATGTGTGGTGTTGCGCTGAAATGCATTTCAACACAGACTGACTCGAGATGCCAAAACACCTGCTGAGCCTCGGGGTTTCGCCTCGTCGCCTTGCAGCTTCGGGAAGCTTTTAATCACAGCCTTAAATCAGTTAATCGATCTTTTTTTTTTCAAGCACTTCTAGCTTGCAGACGTCTTGCCCCCTCCCCACTCCTTTTAAAAAAGATGTTCTCAGATTCAAACAGCTCTACACGGAAAACCCGTCTATTGTGTCCTGCGGTGGTCATTGTTAACATAAGGCTGCCTCGCAGATGGTTGTAGCGGAGATCTAGTAATTACACACGAATGATTTCCCCTCTCGCTGGATCTGGGTGCAGAATCTGTGTGGAGGAGGAAAGAAAAAGAGGTTCGAGTTATTGACCAGGCTTTGCATGTGCACAGAATAAAAACAGAGCTGGGAGAGCAGTACGCTATCAGAGCTTGTACAGCCATCTGTGATATGTTTATCCACAGATGCTCAAGTCATTAAGAAGTCACAGCTGACTTAGAGGAGCTTCTAGTAGTTTCAAAACCTCCCAAGGGTACCTAAATCCTGAGGCCTATCATAAAGATTATTCACTCAAAAAAACAAAACAAAAAACAAACATAAAATCCCCACAAAAATCACTTAAATGCGAATCAAAACATTCCTCTTTTTTTTTTTTTTTCATTTTTCAGGGATCCTCCAGCAGAATAATGAGGTTCAGTTTGGTGATGAAGCACTTTTAAGATTTTCTTCTTGAGAGAGAGAGACTGTGACATTTAGACTGAATTGAGGACTGGAAAGGGGTTAGATAGACATACAGTTGTTGTTGCAATTAATTCATCATCCGCTAGTCTCAGTACAGCTGTCGGATGAGCGGCTCCTTTGAGGAAATTTGTCCGCTTATTCATGCTCCAAAGATCTATAAATGTCCCAAACAGCTGTGGAGGATTTACTTCCACAGACTGTCAGGAATACTTTCAGGGCACAGATTTCTCATTAGCCATGCTGCTTTATTGTCTCTTTGCATTACAAAGTTGGTACTTTGAGGGGAAATGTGATAGAAATGTAAGAGGAGACCTTAAACTCAGTGGGAGGACGCGATCTGCCTGTGTATTTGTCTTTTAACTCACGTAAGCGCTCCTGCGATGTGTGTTGTTTTTCAAAGCCACGTGCTCACGTGTCAGGCAATGGCCTGTTTCAGATGAAACATACACATCCATAGGCCTGCATCTTTACCGCCTCAACACACACACACACGCACATATGCACATACACACAAGCGAGCATTATTATTCTAAGCCTGTAGGCCTTTTCTGCTGGCTCAGATATGTCATGATTGCAAGGATCAGACGGTTCTTAGTATGAGTTGTGTATTACAGATTGTACCTCAATCTGATGTGGCCTTATAAACAGGCTGTTTAGGACTGGATGCTTGCTCAGAAAGGAAACAAGATCCATGTGCAGCTTTATTTATAGAGACACACAGGGATGATTAGACGCTGAGATGGGCTGAAATTGAATGTCCGCAATAGTTTTAAATGAGATCCAAGATGATCTGTAAATACGCTGGTGGCACAAGTGAGGTATGTAAAGAGCAAGGAGTGGAGATTGGAAACGAGAGAGGACTCTTCAGTGTCCCACATCTGACAAGTGGAGCAGAGACAGTTCTTGTGCCTAGAGCCCAGTAATGGTAATTTAAAGTGAGGGAGTGAGTGGCACGGAGAGACACTGAAACAGAGGAAACGATGGGGTGGAGGGGGTTTCATTCTTGTCTCGCATCCATTATCGAACCCGGAGGACTGGCAGCGTTTTGTCGTTAGCATTCACAGGTTCCATTATTACCATACCCGCTCCGTGATGTCACAGGAGGCCAAATAGGGGTACCCCGTGACCTTCCCACAGTCCCACTCTCCACCCCCTGTTAGTGTTTTGTGTGAGCTAGACGCTTTATTCCCAAGCTGCTTTAAAGAATAGATCCTCATCACAAAAGCGAAAAGAATTCCAGCTTGACTGGAAATTGGTTCTTACTAGGTGAAGGGTATCAGTGCAAACACATAAAATATGTGCATTTCAATGCAGTGTTGCACTTTGTACCGTCTGGGTGTTTTTAAACATATTTGTTGTCTTGCAAGGCATATTAGTTTTTATCTTTCAGTGCAAACCCTCACTGTCTTCTTGTCTAACACAGACGATGACAGCGATCAATGACAAGTCAGATCAACACAGATCCATAATAACAATGCTTAACCGCCCTAAAGAGCTCTCTCTCCTTACAATGCCAGTGGATTATCTAGAATGGAGATCATAATGTGTCAACGCTGTGCTTTTAATTTCTCCTCAGCATGCCTGATAATCTGACTGACATGCAAGAGACAGGAAAATTGATGTGGCTGAGATGTCTTTCCATTCCACCAAAAAGGGATTTCTATTGCACATTGTTCTTTTGCATAAGGCTTTCAGCAAAATATGAAACAAAACATGGCAGATTTCAATGGAAAAATAGAGAATAGAGACTATTAGTGCCATTTTGTGCCATGTTCCCCTTTTATTTATAGTAAAAATCATTTATACAGCACATATCCACAAGATGCTTTATAATGTCATTTAGAAATGTGAAACGCTCTGGGAGTTTTTAAATGCTAAAGTAGCTGATAACTTCACCAGCTCAATATCTCATGCTAGTATGTAGTCACTTTTTGCAAACTATCATGTTCTCCCTTTTCTTATTTCTTTATATTACCCCATGGTCAGCGAGAACCCCTGCCGAAAAACCTGCTTTGTGGTTTCTATGGCAACATGGGGAATACTTCATTGACATGATGAGTCTCAATTAACTTGGTAAAGAGGCTCATTAGTTAAGCCTTTAAATGTTATGCAAAACCATGAAGCTCCCTATGTTTCCTCTCGACCGTTTAGCTGCCAGCTAAACCTGATCTGAATGCTTGATGGGGTTGAAGCTTAGCACTGAGACACATGTATATGATTGGTCCACTGCAATAAAAAGACAGGATGAGGAAAGAACTAACCCTGTGTGTGTTAAAGAGAAGGAGAGTGAAAAGGGAGAAATAGGGCCTGAGAAGATTAAATGTATAGGAAAAGCAATACAAAAGCTGCTCCCTTGTAGCTCATTTATTAATGTGTTTGCTTGATCTGAAAGTGAATAAAACATAAATGAGTAAATGAGTTTCTAGGAAGCCTGAGGCAGAAACATCAATTATCAAATCAAATTTCATATAGAATATAAATCAAATTGTGGTTTAGTTTATGCAACGTGATTCTGTATGCTCGATTTGCAACATAATTTACATCATCGGGACACAGTGCAGCTTCTGAAGTAAATACTTTCATGCATTACAGAGACACGCCATCAATAACTGCGGCAGTCTCCTGATTCTTTTCAATGTTTAATGCTAACACCTCGAGGACCAGTGGGTTAAAGTTAGAGTTGCTTTTATGCACTCCTCTCCTAACCATTCAACCATATGATCAAGTCCTCAGATCAACCTTTCAAGTTCAAATCGCACTCCGGGGACACGCTGCCATATTAGATTATCACAAAAAATGTGACAGACTTAAAACAGTCTATACAAAAACTGGCAAAGATGATCTTCAGATCAAGCCTAGTTTTTTAGTTTAACTTTTCAAAAGTACTGGCCTAAGTATTAGCTAAACTGATAAACTGGAAGTGAGGTCTTACCTCCTCAATGCTTTGATCAATCAAAACCAAAACCAAGCGTGGTACGTGGACTCCAGAGCATGTTTGCAAATTTGTGGCTTTTACCATTATTTGGGACTCCAATAAGCAGATACCTCTTGAATTATTAGCCTTAAAACTAATTGTGAGACCTTTCAACCTAACTGTAAGATCGTAAGGCAGTGGCAACATGTATTTTCTTCAGAACAGGTGTAAGGACTTTGCAGTCCTTCCTTTGGTTGTTCGTGAAGAAAAATCACCACTGGGGATGTGCAATAAGCAAAAACACATTTTTCCAATCAGAGCTCACAGCCATGCTTTTAACATGATCAAAATAAGTTGCCATGGGGACTGTTAGGTCCCCTTATCACCTACTGAACTGCTCGGCCCCCTCATCACGGCTTGAGGTATTTTTTGAAGGCTTTTCTTGGGATGCTTTGGTAACAGACTTTCTTTTTTTTGTTGTAAGTTTTTGATTTACCCTGTGTATATACTTTTTAGAAAACAGTTTCTAGTCATACATTTCAGGGTGTCTGTTGACGCAGACAGAAGTTACAGAATCACTTCGTTTGTTTTCGTCTGCTGCACTTCATCAACTCTTTCTCCAAAAGATTTCACACCTGCTGCAGTAGCTGAATATGTAAAACAACTCGAGCACACCTACATAGCTTCTTTCTAGCTGAAAGCGTTTTCTGGTTTGAAGCTGAAAATGCAGCTCAGAACTGTTGACGAGGGGGAGTGTGTCAGATTTCTTGTCTTGACACAGACTGCTTCACACTCGCACACAGCAAAATACAACCTGTGCTCACACTTTACAGATTTACAGCACATATTCTGGCAAAGCAAGTGATATCAAGTCCTGTTAGAATGCATAATGCAAACAGTGGTTTCACAAGAAATCTGAAAATCTGATGCAGTCTGCAAATAAAAATTCATGCTTTTGAGCTGTGCTGAAAGTTTTCTTGTCCTTTGTGTTCCCCCAAGGGCTGGACGACTGCCTGCAGCAGTACATCAAGACCTTTGAGAAGGAGAAAGTAGGGGGGGAGCAGCTGCTGCGTATCACCCACCAGGAGCTGGAAGATTTGGGAGTATCCAGAATTGGCCACCAGGAGCTGATACTGGAGGCTGTGGACTTACTCTGTGCTCTGGTGAGTCCAAGTTTCCCACACCATCTTCCCACTACTTTCTACTGTCACTTTGGAAAGTCAGTGCTGTCGGATGAAGTTTCTGTCGAACATTTGGCACCTCTGCAGCTCTGTGAAATCATTTAACAAGTCAGTGAAGATAACAAGTTACAGAATAAAGATATTTTCCAGTAAGCAGTTGATATATTTAGTAATGATGCAATTTCTATATTGTTATTATCACTGCAAAGACTGTCAGTTAACGAAATCAGTCATTCCAGGAATAAGTGGATGTAGATAGGATTGCTTTAGGCCCCAATTTTTAAACATCACAGCAAATCTACCAGAGTTACTAATCTGGCCAAAAGATCTTCCACAGGCAAATCTTACAACTGTCGTTAGTGTTGACATGGATTACTGCTTCATCTCGAAGGGATTTCTGCTCTTAGTTTCCCAAAACACAAGTTTTGTTAGTGTCAGCATGATAGATTGCTGTTCTGCTGATTTGGCTAATGTGCAGCTGGAGTAGCTGGAGCATAATATTTATTCTCCTTATAATATTCATTCTGGATGTTACTGCATACAGAGTAGAGACCTCGACTTGTTTCTAACACGAGAATGTAAGATTTAGGGGTCAGTCATGTAATGGCCAAATGAACGGCATTAAAATGAACGAATATATACTGCAATCATCAGAAGCATGCTACAGATTAAAAAATGCACTGGAAGCAGATTCTGGTCTCTGTGTGCAAATATGTTACATATAAAACTGGGGACTCATGAGCAAATATATCCCTGGAGCGTAAAGGGGCGATTCGGCAGCGGCACTAGCATGTCAGACGGAGAGATGGAAAGTTATGTAGCTTAAATAGACCACCAGATCAGGAAGGTATATTTGGTATATGACGCAAGGAGAGTGACGCAGAGCAGCTTGAGCTGTGTTTCTGAACTAGCTTGGAGGCTTTGCTTCATTTAAGGAACATTTTTTCTTAAATGGAGGTTTTCCCAGGATAGCTGTTCCCAAATGTTCTCTTTTGTCCGTCAATGTGAACATATTTTTAGACCCTACTTACTGAAAGTGTCCATATTGGTGCTTAAAATTTGCAGTGAAAATGTTACAATTTATTTACTCTGGAAAACATGATTTGATTGATGAAGTAATTTATTATTGTTTTTTACTCTTTTACTCACTCTTAGATTATTTATAAAATAACTGTTTGAAATAAGGGACAAATACCGTTAAGCAGTTTGTACTGATTATGTTGGGGTTTGGAAACTTTTCACTTTATATAACAGGAGCTACACGAAAGAACTATTTGGTGTTGGATTGGATGCTCAGTGGCTCAGAAAGTGTACTTTATTGGTCCCCGTGGGGAAAATCCCTCTCTGCATTTAACCCATTCACTCAGTGAAGCAGTGGGCAGCCATTGGGTGCCCGGGGAGCAGTGTGTAGGGACGGTACCTTGCTCAGGGGTACCTCAGGGTAGCTGTTCAGGGGAATCGAACCCCGACCTTCCAATCATGGGGCCACCACTCTACCTACTGAGCCCCCCACTGTAGGGGGTGTAAGGGTGAATCATATAAATGCTTTGCATCTAATTGAGAATACTTACTCTGGCCATGCTGTCCAGTTTACCACAAGAGGAAATGAAAATGTAAAGTCCTTTTGTAAGGTGTCTTTAGCATCGAGCTAAATAATTTTCTCTCCTAATAATTTCCTTTATTTTGAGGGGTTTTTTTTATATTCACTTGCACATATAATTCCAGTATTTAATTCAAATTTTCTGTTTTTGAACCAAAGAAAGTTAGACTGCAGTAATATAAAAGTAAAAGATGGTAAATGATAAATGAGAAGCAGAAATAACAGAGACAAGGTGCAATAAAGTTGGACCTGGGTTTGTGTTAACTCTTGAGATCTATAGAAAAACTGGGTGGAGATTACCAGCCTAAGGTCACAGATGCAATCTGAATCTAAAGTCCACTCATCCTGCATCGCTGCACAGGGGGCCCTGCTTCAGCCCTAAAGCTTCTTACGTAACTGGGATTTAGTTTTAAGTCTCTCAGGCACTGCTGTATTAAATATGATTAGTGGCCCTCCTGCTGCGCTCTCCCCTCCCAAGAAACCCATGACATGATAGCTGCCCATAGGCCTACACGTGCAGTTAGCCGCAAAGTGTAATGAGCGCTCAACGATGCTCAGGCGTGCAAAGTGACAGCTGATTTCACACATTTTCATCATATGTGGAGCCTTTCTGTTGTGGAGCGTGGTGGGCTGGTCGGCTGTAGTATTCCTATTCATAAAGTGCCATCAGAGAACAATTGGTTTCTATCTCCAGGCTGGGGATATTCTTGGAATGTGTCACAGTGAAAGCAAACACTGACAAACTGGTCAAACACAGTGAATTTACTTTCCTCTCCCCTCTAGAATTATGGGCTGGAGACTGAGAATCTCAAAACGCTTTCTCATAAGCTTAACGCATCTGCCAAGAACCTGCAGAATTTCATCACAGGCAGGCGGCGCAGTGGCCATTATGACGGCCGAGCCACCCGCAAGCTGCCCAACGACTTTCTAACTTCAGTGGTGGACCTCATTGCTGCTGCCAAAAGCCTTTTGGCGTGGCTTGACAGGTGAGATTTGCAAAAAGATGAATTTAAACATTTGGTAAGTCATGTGTAAACATGTGGACGCACACTGTGAAAAAGGGCCCCACAGAGCTGTGTAGATTCAGGTACTGGTCCCATTTACAACTACACACACAAACACATAAATACAGGTTCACATGGACACATATTTATATGCATACTGGGTATATTCTTGCATACATTTCCTTAGATTCGTCTTAGATGCAAACTTACAACCGTGCTAATTGCAAGCAAAAAGATATAATAATAATTTTAATTAATTATAAATATATAACTGACATCAAACAGGAATGAGACAGTCCTGTTTACATGCATTGGTACATGTAGTCTGATTTGGGATTTGTTTTTTTAACAGATACAGACTGGTTTTGTTTTTCTGTGTAATATCCACGACCAATCATTTGACAAGAAAAGATGAGTAAAAGTCTTATATAAGTAGATTTTGACAGGGTGGCCAAAAAGACACCGAGAAAGTCTATTTATATGTCTCTTTATCCTTGCTTCCCTGTGGGATTGTGCCAGTCTGTGTGTTTGTGTCTGTTTGTGTTTGATGAATTTGGAAGTTCAAAGCTGACAACGTTCAGCAAAAATAACAAAGTGATTTGCTTTGCCTTTCCCCCATTATAGCTGACATGATTTACAGCATTCATCCCAATTAAAATTCACTAATCCGTGTTTCATTTCATGTTTGAAAATGCTTAATTGTTGACCAAATTGTACAAATAGAAACGTGGGAGTCGACGCTGCGTTTGTTGACAGTGGATAGGACGCACTTGTGAGGTTATTTGGAAAAAGCAGAACAGCAACTAATAATCTCTGCTCTACGTCAGCTGCTCTCCGCCTTAGGAGAAATGTGAATATTATTAAATGTGTTAAAAGCATTACAGACGTCACATTCCAAAATAAAAACCCCAAAACAGACTAACATAGGCAGAAATGTGAGGAATCCTAAAATGTAAAGGGAGAAATGCTGGTAAAAAAAATATGTAAAATTTACCAGTGACTGAGTCTCAAAGGAAGAATGATCTAATGGTTCATTCCAGGTGCTCTTTCTTTTTCAGATCTCCATTTGCAGCAGTGGCAGATTACTCTGTGACCAGAAACAATGTTATCCAGCTATGTCTTGAGCTCACTACAATTGTACAACAGGTAACAAATATGAAATGATTTATTGTATCATATCCTGTTGTACTGTATTACTTCATACTGTACAGAGCAAACTTGGGATCATCACAAAGCCTCTGTCAGAAAAAAGGAAGCTGATCCATATTAAAGTATAACGGCAGAATTGGAAAAATACCTGGTTCTTTGGTAAATGTGCTTATGATTTTTAAAATGAAATCTCAAAAATGTTTCTTCATTCCCTGCATAAATTTAAAATCTTTCTAAACCCTAAAGCAGATATACATTTACACAATTTTTTCCCCTTTCAGTACATCCTGCTTTTTTATTAGTTTTAGATTTTGCAGCTGTCAGTGATAATGAGAAGCTGAAATTGGACTTGACTACTTCACAACTTGTTTCTCATCTGTCAGATATGCTTTCATGTAAAGCAGCATCCTAATTAGAGCCACCTCAAAGAGTGACCTAAAAATATATTCTAAAGTGATAGAAATGATAGATGCTTATCATAAACTGCAGTTTCATTTTATTGTATCTGGGTCTGTCAGTCATATAGAGCCTCTAAAGACCAGTTAAAACTAAGAGAACTATACAGGTTTTAGGTTGGTCTCTGTGGAATATAATGTTTATATAGAGTTAAGAGAAAAATTAAAGTGGGAAAACATTAAAAGTGAGAGTGAAAGAGGGCAAAAGGGAAAATAATTGAAGGCTGAGAGAGAGGAAGACTGGCAGAGTGAAAGAGAGAGGGAAAGATGTGCCTCCGCATTGGTGATTCATTTGTTTTGTGTTTGTGCCTGCCTGTGTGGGAGTGTTGGGGGTTATAGGTGCCAAGCTGCTCGGTTTTTGCTTATATCCACCTACAGCAGAAATGCCAATAATAACTTCATTTTGACAAATTCTCTTGAGGTAACAGTGCTTTCTGAATATTCCTCAGGACTGCTCTGTGTATGAAACAGAAAACAAGATCCTGAATGTGGTGAGTTTGAAATGTTGTTCTATCGAAGAAATAATTAAACTAATATGTGCAAGCCTGAAGATCGTATTTATCCCTAACGTGTCCTCCGCAGTGTAAAACACTGTCTGAAGTGTGCGACCAAATTATCTCGCTCTCCTCGGATCCCATGGTGTCCCAGTCTGCACATTTGGAGGTTGTGCAGCTCGCCAACATAAAATCCACTGAAGGCTTGGTAAGAGTGACCCTCCCTCAGACTCTCAGAATCACACCCGTTTTGGGGAAAGGGGTTCGGTTTTAATTATCCAGCTCAGATTTTGTATCTCACTTTTCAAGACTTATGAAAACCATGAACAGATGAACTAATTCCTGGCTTTAATCTAGATTTGAACGAACTTTTTTAAAGGATTTTTTTGGTGTAGCTTCAGAAACCCAGCAGAAACATTCATGCTGCTTTATTGTAAAATAATAATAAGTACGTAATAAATTCTTATTCGTTTGAAAAGATGCTATAATAAGTCAACAAATAAATGACACATTTAAGTAGACTAGATAGCCACATAGCTGATTAACTAATAATTACAGGAAAGGCAGAAATTTGTAGGTATTTCTTAGGAGTGGTTCATCTATCACACAGTAATCCCAGGCATACACACCTTGTACTTCACTATACGTAACGAGGCGTACATAACAAATACACATAACAAGTATTTCAATATACTTTTCACAAACTTGAAATATACTTAAAATATCAAGATGTTAAATTGTTTTTCAGGTTTGATGAACACAGGGAAAAGCCAAAAAAGTAAAGTACAAAACTTACTAATGTGAATCGTACTAATGACGATTAAACAGCATGACAGAGTATTTTGTTTTATACAAATATGGCATGTGCAAATTCTCTTAAGCGTTTCTCTTACTCACTGCGAACATATTTCTGCTCAAGCCCAGTACTAACTTTGCCTGATTTTCCAGATAAAGTTTTTATAAATACAGTTTTCTAATGGAACAGCACACACTTACTTTTTGAAGCATACAGAGGCTATTTTCATTAAAAGCTTGGTCAAGCTGTATATATATTTGATTATCTGTACATACCTGTAGAGGCATCAAGAAGTAGGCATACAATTTTTCTTTTGATTACTTTTTTTTGTCATATCTATCTCTGGAATTTCAACTTGGGGATAATAATGTCATGTCAAGTTTTCTGGGAATGACCAAAATTGCATTTCAAAGCAAACAGAACATCTGAAATATGGATTGTAGATTTTAAACCTTGCGTGCTGCTTTTCAGCACGATATCTAATGTAACTCACATTAGCTGACCCCAAACTAGGTTTTGCTGAGCTGGTGGGCATGTGAGTCAGTGGATAAAATGTGACATAAAAACAACATATTGGCCATATTCAGATGAGTGAAATGCAAGCAAATAGAATACAGCAACCGGCAATTCTGTTAGCACTTACTTTTAGGATTGTATATAACTGTTTAGAAGCAGAGAATACTTTTCTTGCACTGTATATAAACGCTCCCCTTTGTTGGACTCCATCTTTGCACTGACCTACACTCGGGCACAAGCTCCTTGCTTGGGGCCACAGTGAAAGCCCCACCCCCCACACATAAACGCTAGCATTGGGCATGGAAGTTCTTTCATCCGTTCAGTGAAACCTGAACACAACAGTGGGTCAAGTAGCCTAAAAATAAACCTCTTCCACTCATCTTGAAGACTGGCATGCTGCTTCTACGTTTCTGCGTGTGACTCGGTGTGTGTGTGTGTGTGTCACATAGTTATGCATGTATTTTCATGCATATCTGTGTGTAAATAGTTGTGTGTTTGTTTGTCTTGTACTTTTGACCCCTTTTAGTGAAAGCCTTGAAGGTTTTTTTTTCTTTTTGCAGCACCAGACTAAAAGTATTTGCAGATAAACAATCATTTATCTTTGATTTAATCTGCTTGCGAGGGACTCGTTACATGACACAAGTTTGCAGAGTGTTCTGTGCATTTAAAGAAAGTGCACCCGTGTGATATTTTATGACTTTCCTCTAGTTGTTTAAGACTACTGAAACAAATTGAGATGTGTATAAAAGCACTTTCCCTCTCAGGCTTTCACTGAGTAAAAACCCAGATTTTCTACCAGTTTTGCACCACAAGCAGATTAAAACAAATGGAGATTTGCAAATATGGAGTAGTCTGTACTGTAAATGACTGCGGGGCTGAGCTGAGGTGCAGATGATGCCGACTCCTAATGCTGTGCTTTACAAGGCAGTCATTTACATATCTGCTATATTCCCACAGGGCATGTATATCAAATCAACATATGATGGTTTGCATGTGATCACCGGCACCACAGAGGGAGTAAGTGCAAATGTCTTTCTGCTCACCTTTGCAGAGTTTCACCTCACTGTTCGTTCACTATTTATACTTTACTTGAATCAGAGCTGCTTTTAATGACTCGGTCTCTCTGTTTTTCCATCAGTCACTGGCTGACCGCTGCAAGAAAATCCATGCTGGAGATGAAGTCATTCAGGTCAATCATCAGACAGTGGTATGGTCGTGTTCTTTCTCTGCCTTATTATTGTTGTTTTTAAAAGAAAATTTGTGTTATTTGAATTTGCACGTTATTTGCATTGCATTTGCAGATTATTTATGCAAATGTTTGTTTAATTTTGACATATTTTTTACATACATAAAGAAATTATGAATGCATGCTGTTGTTTTATACGCTCCTGCAGTTCAGTGCTTTTATGAGCCACTGCAGCTCAACTGTTATTGTCTAGGATACTGGCTGTAGTGTCTCTTGTAGTAGTTTTTGAGGGCTATCATGGGGTCAGTTGGATTTTCTGTTAAAAGCAGATCAAGAGGTACCTGCTTCAAAAAGGTAACTTGTGCTAGCGAGAGTTCTGTTTTTGTTCCTAGAAACTAGTGGTACACACACATTGTTTTTCTTGATAATTAGACGATTCTTGCTAGTTGCGATGCACCTGAATGCAACTACCAAATTTTAGCCTTCTTCTTCTTTTTTTTAAAATAGATAGCAGAAAAGAACTGAAAAGCAGATGGGAACTGGAAATAATAAAGTGTATAATCCAGGCTCAAAGTGGGGATGTTGCTGTTCATTCTTTTTATTTCAATACATGGCTTTTTGACCTCAAATTGTTCTCAGCTGTCCCCAGATTCAGCATGAGCACTTATCAGCCAAAGTAATTGCCATTGTTTCTGTCAGTGAGAGGCATAACTGCACAAAATGTCTGTTTCTGCAGCGTACACAGCATGATGAGCAGAAATGAAAGGGAAAAAACTTTCAACTTTCACTTTTCCGTAGAGTGGAATTTAAATATAGCACCCATTGTTTAAAATAATTGCTACTTGTGTGTGCAACAGCGAGATTTATGATAATTACACAGCTCAAGTCAGATTCATTTCAGTCAGTCAAGTCACCCACTGAATGCAGCCATGTTTTGGAGAAAAAGTGGAAATGCAGAGTTGATTTTCATTTTACCGAAGCATGCGTCAGTCAGAGTCATGCTCCTCATGGGGCACCAAAGGAAAATGCAATGTATTCAAACAAAACTTCTACGGAAGCTATTTTAGCCTGTCATAGTAATGTAAATATTAGCATTACATAAGCCCAACACAGAAACAGCTAATTGAAATAGGGCCTTGAAGTATAGTATAAATGATTTGAGTGATTTTGCAGACTGATTTGCAAGACATTCTCAGCTCTTTCTAAACAACACGATTATGATGTATTGGTTGCCCGAAATTAGTATGTGGGGTAGGACTGAGTAATAGGTGTTCTCAAACAGAGGATGGACTCTTGCAGCAGCCTAAGTAGGCAATACATTACTGCAGTAGAGTTACATGCTGAGCTAAAACTCCACTGTTACTCATAAACATTGCTTAAACCAGCTTAAACATTGTTAATGCATTTTATTTATTATGGCACAGTGTAGAGCAACTTAATTACGGCTGATTGTTCACAAACGTTCCTTTGAGGGTTTAGAGAAACTGCATTGAACTAGATTTGTCTGTGATGGCCCAGATTACTGCCACCATCTCTTCTTACAGGAAAATGAGATAACAAGTCATAAAGAAAAGTTGTTAAATATCTTAATACTCAAGGACGAAAACACCACCAAGTGAAAAAAAACAAGGCATGTTATAAATAGTTGAGGGATTTATAATTAAGGCAGTAGGGAGTACTCCAGCAAAAAGACAGAGCAGAGTTCACTGGATCTGAGCATCTTTTTTCATAAGAAGTGGATGTAGAAATGGCAGCTAAAGCAAACGAGTTACATCAAAGGAAACGAATGAAGAAAAAAAAATGCTCTGCCTTGTGATTAACTTGAAAACATGTAGAAAGACCTAAGGGTTTGCTAATTTGTAGGTTATTTTGGTGGTGTTGTGCACACAGAAGTAAATAACTCGTGACAACAGTGATAGAGTCTGGTGCAGGAATGGCCATTAAATGAAAAGCTTCAAACACATAAAATATCACATACACTATGGTACATTTTAACGCTCACGAGTTTTATCTGAATTTCCAGTGAGATGAAACAAAAGGAAGAAACCAATGACTTGATGTTGTATAAGAAACACTTTAAAGCAGAGCATTTCTTTACCAAGTAAACAGCTTAAAAAGCTGAAAATCAGGGATTTACTGTTTTAAATAAACACTTTTTTGTCTTCGCACAGAAGAACATTTTTTTCTCTACCATAGAATAAAGAATAAAAGCAAAGTGTCTGTCTGTCTGCCTGTTCAGTCAGTCTATGTCTTTAATGCACTTTCTGTGAAGAATTTCTGTGTAGTGGCTGTAAGGGTGAAAAATTACTTGGCAAGGAACAAAGTGATTGCCAGGTCAGAGGCTGAAAAATGTCTGGTACTTCAGGGTGCTTGAAATACACGAGACATACTGAAAATTCAGTGCGGTTGACCGAGCGGGGGAATTTTTTATTTTCCTCCCCAAACTGGACCTGGCATATTTGGTTCAGCAGCAGAGAGTGTTTCTCTGGGCGGGATGCTATTCGTGCCAAATATCATTAAAACTGGGTTAAAGAGTATTTACATGGCATGCAGCTGTTCGCAACACACAACATCAGGCTGTACCACAACATGGCAGGAGGCGTGCAAGATGCCCTGAGGCATCCAGCTTTGCATTAAACATCATCATCAACATGAACCTCAGAGGGCTGCAGGCTGTGCTACAGTTGTCAACCATCAGGATCCATGTGCATTACCAAAATAACAAAGTAACAGCACCTCAAATAAAACAGCTCGCATTTTCTGGTGAACTGAACTTCAAAAAAAGATTAGACATAAAGAAAATGACTTCAAATCGTGAATGGAAACTACCTGAAATACAGACAGTTAATAAGAAGACTAAATGTGGCATTGTTACACTGAAATATCAGCTTCTTATGCCTCCTCTCTGATGATAGCATCACTGAAGACATTATGTTTTAAACCCGCATCCTTCCCCTTTTCATGATCAGACTGTCTCAGGAATTTTTTGAAGAAATTTGTTCAGGTTTGGTCCAGCTGTTCATTTATACCATTTTTTTTTAAAAACATGCTTTTTAAGCTCATCTGGCTCAAGAACCAATGAGCTTATGCCATGGTAAGGGGTCCATTGATAACCCATCCATTTGTCCAACCACAGCTCATAAGACTCACGCCTCCTGCTAAAGTATTGGTCAGAATTTAAACAAACTTACACACAATGATCACCTAACGGGTCTTTGCCCACACTCTTCTCAAGATTAATGTCACCTTTGTCCTTTTTACAGTCATTTTAACCTGTTAATTGTCATGAATCTTGAACTGGGTGAGCTACTAGTATCATTGATGTTCTGGTTGGATCCAAAACTCAAAAATTGTTACATTTTTCACATAAATGTCTAATAGTATTGAATGATAAAGTAATAAAGTAATGGACAAATGTCAAATTTAGTCAAGTTTTTCTGTAAGAACTCTTCTGGTTATTATTCAGGAGCATAACTCTGGAACTTAAGGATAAATTACAACCATATTTCAATATTGTTCAGATAACAAACTTTAGAGCCCACCTATTAAATTCTATAATGATCGCTACATATGTGAGTCTACAGAGACAGATACTGCAGCATGAGCATCTGGCAGATGAAGGTGAATTTTTAGAAATGCAATAGCTTAACAGTCCATCAGCTAGTTATACGAAAATTTCTGTGTAATAGTAAAAAACTGATTACATGATGACGGTCATATTCTCAAATATGCAAAGGTAAACTTCACTAATACATATGGCAAAAAAACCCCAAAAACAAAACACTCCCTGTTTATTTAGTCTAGGCAATATTTCCAGTTATTTCTGCAGTCTAAGGCATTAAAATGCCCGTGTGGGTTGAGGAAACCCTTATCGAGCTATTCTTGTGCACTAGGTGGGCTGGCAGCTGAAAAATCTGGTGAACTTGTTGCGTGGAGATCCTGCAGGTGTCACCCTGACGCTGAAGAAACGCCCCCAGAGCACGCTCACGTCAACCCCTGCTCTGCTGAAAAACATGAGATGGAAACCATTAGCTCTGCAGGTATGATGACTGCCTTCATGCTCCACAGATATAGCTTTCATTCATGTCTCTGTGTGGCTGTTGATGTTGTTCGCTTGTGTTCATCTCTGTGCCTGTGGTGAATATAAACGTACAAAGCTAAACACCAAAAAATGCGATCACCCTAAAATGGGTAGAATATAAAATGAGAGTGTAACATGAATCTGCTTGTAGAGTAGCGTCCAAACTAATCCACTTGACTCCACCCACTTTGTGATCACAACTTTCGACTTACTTTAACACTTTTTTTTTTTATCAATTATTACATGTTTGTAATGCACCTTACAAATCTCAAACACTCTTCTTTTGACTAACTGATGCCAGCATGATCCATACAGATTTTGACATTTCAGCCCTAAGTGGCATCTGTTGTCCTACTTCAGCCAAACCAATTACAATATTAGGACCGTGTGCCTGCGCCAGAATGGGTGGAAATGAGAGGGACGTGTATTAAAGTAGTCCAGCCTTTCTTTGAGTCCCATTCCAGAGAAAATGTTTTCTCCCCCTGAGGCCCTGAAGCGCAGTGCTGCTCAGCCTCCTCCCTCTTCACGTCCTCACATTCTTCTCCTCCACCTAAATCGAATCTGCTATGTCGCTGGCATTTTTCTGGGGCAAAAAAAAAAAAAAAGCCAACCAGAGACTGTGGTGTTTTCTGATCTGAGCTGTGACTAAAATTTAAAATGTCAAGGTATTCTGCTAAGTTATTGAAAAGAACATTGCGCGGTGACTCATATAATGGTCTTATGATGGAGCACACAGACCACTCAGTGTTACATCTCAGCTATTGGTCAGCGCTGAGTTTATGCAGCATAGTTTGAGTAATGTCTTATTAGTATTCTATTGTTGAAAAACCTTTTTTTTTTGGAAGTCGATGATTTCTTGCGATTGGATTACATTTCTCCGACTATTCAAGTTAAGCTGACGATGTTGCATATTCTTATTCTTACAATACATTCGGCAAATTTGTTTTACATTGTGGTGCTTAAACACAAAGACATGTTTTCTTTAGAAAACAGTCTACTGTACATAACAAGCAAAGTAGGCTACGGCCAGATCCTCCTTGACCTGACTAAGAGGGATGACTTGACCGCATGCCTGCCTCTCTTCCTCTGTGCACCAGTTAGAACTAAAGCATCAGAAACGTACAGTACACAGCTCATTTCATGGTTGAGATGCTCAGCTGCACAGTCTGAACAGAGTGAACACTCCCGAACTGACTGACTGAACTGCTGTGAGCTCCAAATTTTCATTGTGTCGGTCCCTGTAACTGTTTCTCTCGCTCTTTCTCTCTGTCTGCCTTTTTCTCTGTCTTTCACACATGCTCACACATACACATACACTCACTTACACACAGCCAATCTTCCCTCAGAGCCCCAGCAGCAGTGTCGCTACGCCGACCAGCACTTTAAGCACTCCGTCCAGGAGGAGTAGCTGCGCCCTGCAGGACCTCTACATTCCCCCTCCTCCAGCAGAGCCCTACACCCCCAGGTGAACGCAGATGTAAAACACAGAAAACTTTGCTTGCTTTGCAAAAGCTTTCCTACCAGAGTTTTCCGCTCTAAGTGTGACTACAGGGCAGTGTTTTTATGTGCACATTATGTACGACACAGTCATGTTATTTTATTGAGTGAAGGTGTACCGTTGTATCAACAATGGCAGTGAGAGGAGGGGAGTCTGTTTTAAAAGATAGAGGTGAAAAACAATGAAAAATATGTGAAAAAAAGAACAAAAAGGAATGCACAGTTCATATTTTGAGAAATCTTTAATGTAAAACAACCACTGACTCATTAATTACACCTTGCTGGTGCCAGGTTGGACCCATTTGTGCCTTCAGAACTGCGTTAACTCTTCATAGCATGGATTCAACAAAGTGCTGGAAATGTTCCTCAGAGATTTTGGTGCATATTAACTGGATTATATCACACAGTTGTTGCAAACTGCAAATCAGCTGCACATCCATAATTTGAATCTTCCCGTTTCACCACAACCCAAACATGCTCTGTTGGCCTGAGATCTGTTAACTGTGAGTAGTCAAGTCGTTGTCATGTTCAGCAAACCAGTTTGAGATGATTTGAGCTTTGTGATGGGTGGGATTGTGATTGGGTGGTATCCTGCTTAAAGCACCCATCAGAATCATGGTGAGCAACAATACTCAGGTAGTCTATGGTGTTTAAATGAGGCTCAATTGGCACTAAGTGTGCTAAGAAAATATGTCCCACACCATTACACCACCAGCAGTTGCCTGAACTATTAATATAGCATGGTTCCATGCTTTCATGTGAGGTCTGACCCTACTAACTGAGTGTTGCAGCAGAAACTGAGACTCATCAGAGCATCCAATGTTTCTCCAAGTCTTATCCAATTTTGGTGAGGCTGTGTGAATCGTAGCTTCAGTTTCCTGTTCTTAGCTGATTGGCAGTGGCAGCATGTTTTGTCTTCTGCTGTTGCCTGTCTACTTCAGGGTTTGATTGACCTCTTCCGCATACCTTGGTTTTTAAAAAGTTGCTATTGGCTCGATGCGCACTGGTCATTTTCCTCTGGCCCCTGACAGAGGAGAATTACATCAATATGGCATTTTCACACAGAGAAGTGGTGCTCCTTGACATTTTCTTTTTTCCGTACCAAATCCCAGCAGATCAGCAGTTTCTGAAATTCTCAGATCATTCTGTGTGGCACCAAACAGCCCTGCCACGTTTAAAGTCACATAAATAATTTCCAATGCTTGGTTGGAACTTCAGCGCGCTCTCTTGACTATGTCTACGTGTCTTAATGCATTAAGTCAAAGCCATGTGTTGGCTGACAAAATGTTAGGTTTCCCCAAGAATATTGTTTGGTGATTTAAATTTTACCCATCAGTTTGATTTGTCAAAACTTTTCAGCCTAATTTCACCCATTTTTTTTTTTGCCACTTTGCCACTTTTTTGACAACTTGTAAATACATAAAAAGAGTAAATGATGCCATGCAATGAAATTCACAGGATTACCCATTTTAAATAGGTTAGTTTGCTGCATTCATTGCTATTGAATGATATCAGTCTGAGTTTTCTACTACAATATTTAGCCTAGCTCATTAGCTGTACCCTCTGCTGTTTGGATTAACTCTGCAGGAATGAGTGGGACTAAGAGAGAAAATGAGACAGTGAGAATCTTTGTTTTCCTTTTTGTTTGGTAGCAAATATGATGCACAACATTTGGATAAGCTTTACAGTGAAACTTCTGAACATGCAGACAGCTTGTTGCACCTCACGGTGGCTGCAGGTGCTTCTCCCACACTCTTGTCACAAAGTTCCCACAAGAACGGAGCCATGTCACATATTGAAAGGCTCGACTGGTGACACGAGTAATAATTAGTTCCTCCTCAGATTTCAGCTTCTCTCATATGCAAACAACAAACACAGTGCATCGTGTTCTGTGGATAAAGAAACGCTCTCCTCTGAGAGTCATAGAGAAATCGTGAATTTTTGACTGATGCTTGAAAGCTTTGATTTCCCAGGGTCAGCTCCAACTACAGATAATAACTAATAAAGCTACACGATTAGTATTGTTTACCCAGAGATATTTGTTTCTGTGTAATGTTTTACTGAATGTATTGTCCCAAGAGGATGAATCTTACTTACTTTGGATATCCCCAAATGCCAAATCAGGCTGGTGAGCATTATTGAGCTAAATATATGAAGTTTGTATTTGTCCTCAGTGGATGCATGTTAGAAATCTCATGTTAGTGATCACTGTATTTGCAACTGGTTTAAAGAAAGGGAATATAGCTACAACAATATGTGTTATGAATTTTAAATCATTAATAAATACCATTAAAATACCTGGACTTGTACCATTAAAACCATCAAAACTGATAATAAATTGACCACTGCTGTTGAGAAAAAAAAGGTGTTGAATGGGGAGATGTGCTCCATATTTTTCCCTGCTGCTATTTCCCTGATTATTTTCCCTACGCTGTGCTTTGTTTGACTTAATACACGTGTAATTGCGTAAACACTACCTAATACCATAAAAACTAGAGCACAAAATGTGTAGGAATCTGCAGCTGAATATACTCCTGTTTGAGTAATGTTTGTTCAAAACTAAAGTACATTGGCAGTGGAAATGATTTAGCCCCAAGAAATCTAAGTATATACAAAAATATATATCTCCAATGGGGACAGATGGGCTCGGAGCAGAACAACGTCTTCTCTCTGATCTTATTCCAAACCCTGACAATAAAATGACTTCCTGCTTTCTGTTACCGAAGAGATGACAAGGGAAGTCTGCCGGATGATGATCCTCAATCAGATGTCCATGTCGCAGAGGGATCTGAGTCACCAAACTCCTACTTGGATCAGGAGTGTCGAAGGCGATTTCCTCTGGTGGAGGAGGATACTATACTGTACTGTTACGAGTACGACCAGAACCAAGAGGGTGCATCAGTCCGCAGGGGGAGCACGCCCACCTACGGTAAGACCTCTGCCTCATCCGAGGATTCACCGCTGTAATCGTGGGAGCCAAGAATTTAAAGCCGTGCAGATGTGACGTCTTAATGTTTCTAGGTGTTTTTGATTTGTGTGTGTGTGTGTATGTGCGTGTGTGTCTGTGTGTGGGGGCAGGCTGTGTAATATTGCCGTTCCCTGTGCCTCCTTGCTCTAGGGAGGCTAAGGCCCATATCAATGCCAGTGGAATACAACTGGGTGGGAGACAACGAAGACCTGGCCAAGCTGAAGAGAGAGAGCAGGAGAGGTGAGTGGGAGGCAGTGGGAAAGAGAGAAAAAGAAAGGGAGGAAGAAAGGGACAGAGGAAGCTGAGGTGAGTGGGAGGAGATCTCATAATATCCTCACCCTCTCAGATCTCCCAGCCAAAAAGTAGAAGGATAAGCTGGCCTGTCAAAACTGATAACATGCTGGATATCAGCTCCTGCCTGTATCTCCTCCATATGTTCATTATCTATCACAGCTCTCCCCCCTCTTCATCCCTCTCTCTGTTTCTTTTTCCCTCTCAGCTTCGCCGTGCCTCCGAGTTTGGATATAAAAAGTACGCTGTTGCTTTGGCAACTGTATAAATATATTTTCCTAAGATTTTCACATTTTGCTGGTGACTGTTGAGCTAGGTGGTAAATGGAGTGGGAGGAGACTGAATTGCTTTATTTCAGCCTCAAACAACGACTTGAGTGATGTGTTTGTTTCCTCTGAGGATGCTGCTGATATGTTGCTCCTTTGGGCTTTTCAGAAAAAGTGATGGAGCTATATTTATCTACAAGAGGCAGTATTTGGAAGTTTTGAGGGCTTCCTGCCTGACAACGGCTTCCTTGGTAGATGTTTTAACACTTTTCACATATTTTAAGTGGAAAGTCTTGAACCAAAGTCTTGCTGATAGGCAGCAGATTCGGTGTTTATTGACGTTAGTAAGAGCGTGTCGTTAGGATTTAAGGAAAAAAAATATAAATCAGTTTTGGGTTGTTGTGATGTGTATAATAGTCTGCCTCTGTTGTGTCCCTGCAGAGAATTCTCTGATGCATTTTGAGAGCGAAGACAAGACCTCACACGAAGACTTCCTCCTGGGTCGGAGCCTGAGTCAGAACAGGAGGAAGACCGAGCGAGGAGCCAGCCCGACCCATTACACACTCGTCCCTGCCCTCCAGATGGAAGTCTCCCGGTCCACGTCTAGCTCTGACTCTGCATCCTTGTATCACGTTAGTCTGTCCTGTCCACGAAAAGTGAAATCATTCTTTGTCAGAATCCACACCGGGATTTATTTCATGGCGTCATGTGTTTTGTTTTAATTTCGCAGGTTTTTGAAAGATCCTCATTGCTTTCAAGATCAAAGAAAAAGGGTAAAGGTAGGATCATTTTTCTGGGATTGAATTTTACGTGCATGCTCATTTGTACTCAAATCCTTATATAAGCAGGTGCTTCATAAGTAGAGTTTTCTGAGCCCCCTCCTCTGTTCTGCTCCCCTGCTGGTGCCTGCAGCTGGAAGTCCTCTCACTTCAATCAGCAAACGGCGGATTTCCTGCAGGGACTTGGGTCAGGGCGACTGTCAGGGCTGGCTGTGGAAAAAGAAAGACGCTAAAACTTATTTTTCGCAGAAGTGGAAGAAGTACTGGTTCATCCTGAAAGACACGTGTCTGTACTGGTACATGAATGAGGAGGTGAATATGATTGTTCCCATAAAAGAGCAATTGATACGTTTTAGACTTCATTCTTCAAGCTGAACTTTGAATTGACTCTCTGTTTGCTTATCTCAGGATGAGAAGGCGGAGGGCTTCGTCAGCCTACCAGAGTTTAAGATAGATCGTGCCACTGAATGCAGAAGGAAGTTGTGAGTGCCTGTTTTTACCTGAACACCAAATATAAATGTGCATTTCTTTTGCATTTAGGCATGTCACATATTTGCACACAGCCCTATAAACATCAGTTAAGTGGTTATCTGCTGCAAACTGGTTCCTGGCAAGAAAATGGGCTCATTCTTAATGTCTGTTTTGGGCCAGATTTTATCTTTTCACCCGAGAAATGAGCAAAATATGTAATTTGTTTAAGCTTTTCATACAGCTCTATACTGAAAATTTAATGGACTGACCATTCAGAGTGGTGGGATCGAGTGCCTGACTCACAAATAGGCAATATTCTGACAGCACAGCAGATGTTATTTAGTTTAAGGTGTTAATTTAAATCTGAAATTATGAAGACAAGAGAGAAATTGCTGAAGCAGCAGCTGTACTAATAGTTTTTGGTATATTACTACAACATGAAATATTACAGTAACAAAGATCTTTAAAAAGTCTGCTGACTGAAAATGTCACTGAAGAAGGGTGTGACACATTTTATGAGTCAAACTTGAAATAATTCTAAGAAATTCTTGTGGGGCTTTTTGGGCCCGGAGTGCTTTCTGGTTACAGATGGAGGGCTGGAAGCGTGATGAGTATGTGCACATGCATTTAGTAATTGAGTAAGAGGGGAAGGCTGTGACGTAGTTGATGATTGGGGCAAAACTGTACGTTTTAAGATAAAGACAGGCAGATACGAAACACTGCAAACTGTGTGCAGGATTAGAAAATAAGGTGATTTCTATCTTAATTGGAGCATGGCTGCCTCACACAAATTGCGTTTGGTATCATTGCATAACTACCTTCCTTTACTACAGTGGCCTTAATGGAGCTATAGCTTGTACTATGTTTTAGGGAAGAAATTTATTTAGGTTTTTCTGTATAATTAGAAAAATAAATTTAACTTTTGGTTATTTTAAGAGCTATTCTTTCTAATTTTAACTTGAAAGAAAAGAAAATTCTCCAAAATTTTGCTGGTCTAGACCAGGGATGTCAAATGACTCCAATACAGCCACTGAACAGCTTTGGAAACTGTTAAGCAGGGCGTAAATTTTAGAGTTTTACAGCTTTTCCTACTGATAAATACCTTGCCCATGACTATTTATGTTACACCAACATTTCTACAATTGGCCCACAGTAACAAAACAAGCTAACTTAATTAATAAATAAATAAATAAAACATTTTCAGTCAGTCAACAAAAATAATACATCCTTTATGTTTGTTTTTAATGTTTTTGAATGAGAGGACTGTCTAGTCAGTGTGCTACCAGAAACAAATAGTAAATTTACATATTTATTTCTTATAATTTAAGCCCAAACAGTCTTCCTGAGAGATTTCTGGCACTTGTTTTTCTTATATTACTTTATATTATATTTGAATATAAAAGGCCCTGGGGTGACTGTTGTTTTGAACTGGTGACAAATCAACATTTGAATTAAATTGGATATTTATGTATCAGGGAATTAATGTGTAGTTAAGTTTACTAATTGAAGTGTAGTTAAATGTTTCAGTGGTTTGGCTCACTTAAGATCAAATTTGGCTGCATTTGGCTCACGGACCATTTACAACAGTCGAAATGATGTTTTGCTGCGGTTTACTGTGAGCTTAAAGAGTTAAAATCATTAGGAGTGAAGGATTAGATGGGTTTTGTCATAGTGGTACAGTAGGTACAATGGTTGCCTCATGGTCGAGTTTGAATCTGCTAGATACCTGGTGCCTTTCTGTGTAGAGTCTACATGTTCTCCTGGTGCCTGCATGGGTTCTCACTGGGTATACTGGCTTCCTCGCACAGTCTAGACATGTGAGATTAATTGGCAATTCCAAATTGGCCATAGGGGTAAACCCGAGCATGAATAGGCGGTTGTCTGTCTCTCTGGAGTTGCACTGTGACAGGCGACCTCTGCAGGGTGCCCCCTGCCTGTCACCGAGTGATAGCTGGGATATTCTCTAACGCCCACAACCACGAATGAGATAAACAGAAGGATGTATGACTTGATGGGTTGCTGTTCAGTACTGAGTTAAACAACAGGAATATTACAGGGTTCGGAGTTGTGTTTAATAATTATGGCTCTATCTTAATTATTTATCTTAATGATGCCCTTCAGCTTTTGGGTTGAAGACTGTGACTGTATATAAATGGAATCGTACTTCATGAGGCTGACTCCAACTTGTGCAGCTTCCCAAAATAATCAAAGCGCTTTATCTCATGACGCGCAGTCTTGCTGTTTTGGTGTCAGCATGAATCAGTATATGCACGGCCATGTGTCGGTTTATTTTTCCAGTCGATAGCATTCACATGGAAATGCGAGCCATACGTTGCTGTCCTTCTGCTTACGTGTGATTAAATATGTCCCTTTTAGTGCTTTCAAGGCTTGCCATCCGAAGATAAAGACCTTCTACTTTGCTGCGGAAAATGTAGACGACATGTCCCGGTGAGTTCATGAGGCTTTTATAGCCGTATTGCACACTCCCCAAACATTTAAACCCATACTGTCTGCAAACGGAATCCCCCTACTAATAGACTGCCCTCTCTGTTTGAAACAAAGTAGTTTTGTAAGTTTATTACTAGTCAACCAGTTGAACACACACACGCACACACACACTGGTATGAGATGTTTCATTGGATGTTGAATTGCTGTGCGTCAGTGCTGTTGTTCTCCCCCACAGGTGGCTTAGTCGTCTCAGTATGGCAGTGGCAGGCTACTCTGAGCAGCAGGAGAAAATGCGCCAAGACCAAGGTGAGATTAGTCACAGTCTGTGTTCACGGTGCTGCAAGAATTTCTTCAGCTGTTACAGGTCAACAGTTATATAAAACTGATGATTTCTAAGCAGTGGGGTGTCACGCTGTTGCTTTTCGATTGAGGAATTACGTACATAAAAGTTGAAACAAATGCGTGAATAATTATTTTGCCTAGTCTTCATTTGGCAGAGGTTTTGATTTGCTGTCAGAGGCTCACAGCAGTAATTGAGCTCCTGTCTTTACTGTTTAGAACTGGAGGTGCAACAACTTTTGCACCACAAATGGACAAAACTGGCTGTTCCAACATTAACGTTTCTTTAAAAAAAAAGTGACTGTAGAGATGACTCCATTTAAATTCTTGCTTCTTTAGTTTGGTTCACTTGCTTTAAAGTAAAGACTTCTTTGTCTGAATCTTTCCACTGGGAGATGAGCTCATTAATTATTTATTTGACTGTCAAAGTTTAGAAGAATTACAAGGAAATGAATTGGGGATTTGAAAATTATAACTTGGCTCAGAGTAAATTTGATGCTATGGCCTGGAAAAACAAGACCAGATGCAGAGGATTCAATATACAGATTTAGATCAGCAGCAGAGGCGTTGTACTTCCGCTTTACATCAGATTCAAGAATCGCTTCGTCGTGCTGAGTATAAATAGTAATTTTAAGGGGCTGGATAACTTCTTCAGCTTCTTAAAGATGGACCGGAAATAATGTAACTAACCCTTGCGCTATTTAGAGGAGCCTACGTAGGAACCTTGCATGGGTGGGTGGGTGAGAGCAGGTTTATCACGAGCTTCATGAAAACAGGGTTTTTGCTTTACAGAAGAGTTTCTAAATTAGAACCATAACACCTCCAGAAGACCTATAAGGAAGTTCTCACATCTTAGATTCATCCTTTTTCACACTCCAGAGTGGACCCGGACTTGTACATCACACCTACCCATCCACACTCCTGCCACAGTACCCTTGTCAGAGCTGTTAGTCAGAGTTTGATTTTTCCGACCTTATGCAGGTGTTCAGATTGCAAACTGTATGCGTGTGAGAAAAGTTACCCCTTTCTGCTCCATGTAGAAACAGTTGATTTTGCTTGAGCCTAGAAGTATTAACTCAACAGTACTTTTGTACATGACAGATTACTGGAGTGAGAGTGATCATGAGGACATGGAAATGCCCTCAATGTCCAAACAGGACAGTCCACCACCACCTTATGACACCTATCCCAGAGCATCCTCAGTGAGTCTGTCAGCCTGTAGTTCAGAAATTTATGGTTGATTTACTGAATTTTCCTCAGTGGCACACGTCCCTTATTTTTCTTACGTCTGTTTGTAATTAGGTGAGTCCTTACCTTGAACCGAAACGCGGGCATCTCTCCTCCTCTGACACCTTTCAGTCTCGTTCTTCTCACGAGGAGTTCCGCTCGGAGCCTCAGGAAGGCAGCAGCAACAATGGCATCTCCCCCGGGCCAAAGACGAGCAGCCATCGAAACTCGTGGCACGACCAGATGGAAAGCAACACACGGATGCACTACCTCCAGACGTTTCCCATGGAGGAATCCTTGTTATCCCAGGACAGGGACCAGTTGGCGATGGAGTACCGCAGGCAGGCCACGCTGCCTGCACAGCGCAGTCTGCTGCAGGAACAGTACAGAGCCCTGCCCTTGCCCCTCAGGGCCAGTATTGATTCAGAGGTAGGAGGGAAACCTCGCAGCTTCACACTTCCCAGGGACAGCGGCCTCCATGCTATCCTGGCTGCCACTGCTGCTTCTGATCAGGGGGAACCGCAGCACTATCCACTGGACCGGTCCAGGGATGCAGGTCAGATTCCTTATATGAATTTTCAGATTTACTACAGTATGCTGCCTGTCATGAGAAGCCAAACAGTTGCAGTCTTCTCTTTTGTATTTATTTTATAACATTTTTACAGGATTTGAATTCACCAAAGCCCCTTATGATTTAATAACACTATTAGGCTATAAAGCAATAGCAACATGCTGCTATGGCTAATGTAATCACAATTGTAATCACAGTGTCCCCAACAAGTCTTATTTAACCACTGTTTTGGAAACTTTTCTGGGACATGTAAAACGCTTCTCTAAGTGGGCTTTTTATTTATATATTTCATGTTACAGAACCAAATGTCTAAACCCCGTATTCATCCAAGACTTTACTTCCAGCATCAAACCAACATCCTATTCCAAAGTGACCATGGATGAGGGAATGAGATGTGCAAACTGTAAAATCCTGCTGCACTCTATAGCTAACAGAAAAACTAATAAAATAATTATTTTTGCTAAAAACTGTTTAATGATGGATTTTTGGGCTATATACCAATAAAGCTTAGGCCTCAGTCACACAGCTGGTAACCCTCTACAGGTTGCTAGAGAATGATATGATTGGCAGGTGGTTGCTTCTAGTTGCTAGGAGGGCACTGCAACAAAAAAAGGTCCTTGTGATTGCTTTGCTTATTGGTAGATTGCCGCTGCTGCCCACAGTCTGCATGGAAGATATTGATTTATCTCTTAATACTAGAAACTGATTGGTAGTGAAACTGAAAAGTGCAACGCAAGCTGCCTTCAGACTATTGCCTGCCTCACTGCTGCAGGTAATATGGTTCAAAAGGCAGGGCAGTTGAACTGCAGTGGTTTGCAGCGCTGCCTCACAGCAAGAAGGTTGTGGGTTTGAGTCCACTGGCCGGACGGGGCCCTCCTACTTTTAGTTTGCATGTTCTCACTGTGCATGCTTTGGCCTCTCTGTCCAATTGTTTGGGTAATTCATGACTGTGAAAAAACTTGGCTGAATCTGTGCGTTAGCCCAGACTGGCGATCTGTTCAGGTGCTACGTCACTTCTCATCCTATGACAGCTGGGATAGGCTGTGACCCCACTGAACTCCACCCTGAATTGGTTAAAATGAATGAAATCTATGGATGGGTTGAAGTATTCACATATGCTTGGCAAGATTTTTTTCGTTATTAGCACAAGTTGACATTCTTCTCACAAATTTGAGGCATATTGCTTCGATTTAGAAAGTCAGGCACCACCTCTTACAATAAACAATGCTATAATCACCGTGTCTGCTGTATTCAAGAGAGGTCAACAACAATATCCACTTACGTTTAATCGAAAGCGTTAAATACCTCTGAACTGAAAATCAGTTCAGATTAACACATTTGGAGCCTGACAGGTGGCTGCGATGAAGAGCTCCTAGAGCTAATCTGACAGTTTTGTGGGGGTACAAAAATGTTGAGGTAGAGATGAAGACGTCGCACACTTAACAGCATCACTGAATGGTCCTGCTGTGAGAGCCTCTCCTGCTCAGTGTTATATGCAGATCAGTCTTTTCATCAGCACACGGCTGTGCAAATGCGCTTATTTGTCATCATTTATTTTATTAAAGCTGCTAACAGGCAGTCAGAGCCAGCAAATGTCAGAGGTTGAATACTCGCTATTATTGCTTTATTGGATTGGATTTAAAGCCAGCCCATTCGCCATCCCTTGAAGTCCTCCGGGGAAGTTGTCTAAGTGAAACGAAATTTAGTCTTATTTGATACTGATTTATCTTGGCAGCCCACTCTCTTTTTCTCTCTAGCACACTCTCTAGCTCATTCTTTCGCTTTCTCTCTCTCCTTTTTCCCTCTTGCCTGATCGAGATGTTGTCGTGCCTCTCGGCGGTGTTTGGATGGCGAGGCGAGGAGGAATCCTTTCAGCCCAAGTTAATGTTGAATTCAGAATGGGATAAAGAAGCTCGCCCAAGGCCCCTCTCTTCTTGTCCTCATTTATCTATTGCTCCGTGGGTTCGGTCTCTCCACCACTTCCAATAGGGATGAGAAAGCAGACACAAAACAGGCGGCAAACAAAGCGCGATACATTTCAAAGCACAGCCCAAAAGCCTCAGAATGTACCACCCTGCTTCCAAAATACAAAACAGTGTGTGACAACTCACATAATCAGAGCCCGAGTGCAGTGTATGAGTGTTGGCAACAGGGGGCAGTGCATGAAAACAGGAGACAAATGGGGTTTGGGTAGCTTATTAGAATAATGCATGAGATTCCAGTTTCCTAGGTTTAAGGTCCTTTTTCTTCCTTTATTGCTGTCTGAAGAAAAAAGCACAAATAATACATGTAGCTCTGACTAATGTCTTAAAAACAAAAGAAATGTTTGCTCATCTCGGGAGACGTCCATAGGCTACATAATTAGTCAATAGGCTAATCAGTGAAAAATGAAAACTAGAATTGATTCATCCAATTAGCAAAATGTTTTTTTTTAATCACTCTAGGGGGAGCATTGTTAGAGGGTGTGAAAAGGTAACAAATCTCAGTTTCGACTTTAGTTTACTAATGTATGTTTTTTGGTGCATTTTGTGTCTTGCCAGGCCATGGACGTGACTGCAGGATGCAGACGGACTCTCTGGTGGATTTGTACCGTGCCCTGGAGCAGACAAACCTGTCTGATCACAGACCAGCCAACCGCCTGGAATACAAGCGCTCGTTTGTCCGCCGAGTTAACGACCCCCTGCTGAATGACAAACTTCACCGCTTACGAATTCTCCACAGTTCACTCAATGTATAACAACACATTTAAGCATGAATTATTGTTTTATAAATGAGTTGCATTTGCTGATTTCTGATTCGTGCTTTTATTTTCTTGCAGAACGTCCCCCTTCAAGACACAAATCGATCGTTGGGTTTTTTAGGGTAGCCTGTTGAGAATCGGTGTGGCGGTGACAACTAAGCTATAACACCTCTGTCTGCACTTCACACAGCTGGTGTCCCAGTGACAGAAATGAAAGGCACCAAAAACCATTGTTTACCTTCTTGGTTCTCCATCTCCTCTCCTTTACAACACCTTCAACTGCAGTCCACTTGCAGGAGCACAAAGACTCGCTATCCCTATTTGCCTCATCGCTTTCTTTTTAGGATGAGGGCTTTAACAAAAGGCAAAAAAAGATGCCTGGCTTGATGAAATAAGTTATAGGTCCCCAGGGTTTATGGCAAATAAGCACTTTGATTCCATGTCAGAAATTTGTCAGAGAGGTTTTTAAATCATTGCTCACGTGCATGGCCACGTCCCTTTGCTTCTGTTGAGTTGTTTGAACATTATGCTGGAGTTGTGTGCAGCTGCTCATTGTGCACAACATTTGGTTATGCATGTGTGTTTGATTCATGGGTATGTTTGTTGTACGAGTGTACAGGATGTTATATATATATATATATATATACACAGATATTATGATATTACATTACAGCAAAAGTGACTACACGGTGTTTTGGGTTACTTATACAAATTGTAAATCAAGTGCTGTGCCTCAGTGATAGTGAATGTACATTGTACTTTTCCAAGAGAGGTCAGAGAAGACACAGAACGCAAGCTATCCCTCAAACCAGAGGCACAAAAATAAAAGGCTTGGCAATAATGAACTCGTATTGTAAATTACAGATGAACGATCAGAATAGTCGTCTATTTTTGTATGCATGCTGTCTACCTGATTGTTTGTAAGACATTTTCTCCACCCCTCGGCTCACCCGCAGTCCCTTACTCACCCACACACACTCATGCACACAAGCGGCACAGTGTATTTTTAATTCTTATACAAACGGCCCCAGAAAATTGAATCATTTTCTTTCTGATTGTGCGCCGTAAAAAGCAGAATAACCGTATTTATTAAGTGTTTAATGTGCAAGCATGCTTTGTAAGACTAAAACATTGTACCCAGCCATGTGACTCACATATCACACCTGTGCCATATTGTAGCTGCATTTTTTTTTTTAAATAAAGTACATACATGAGAACCTCTGCTGAGTGTTTTTCTTTCTTTTTCTACTTCCCTCAGTAATGATGAGGCTGCTCAATTTACATGAAACTTCAGGTTTTCTCATAATATATAATTAATGGAACACGTGGGAATAGTGCTCTGTTTAGTGCAGGTATAACTGTTTATTTAGGTATGCTACTACTGGTCTAAAGAGGAGAAAAAGCCTTTGTAGAAGCAGCACTGCTCGGCACTGTACGTGTGCCCATTGTGAATCTGCATGACAGTTGGTAGGAAAATCCAGTGTCATTACACATAACTTTGTTGACAAAAAATCAGTCAACCTCCACAAGGCACAAAAAAAACACAGCCTTTAATTTTCTGCCACGTCCTTCTGCAGATGCCAGGTACTCCATCCCACTGTGTTTGTGTAGCCAAGGTATTGCACTATGGCCATATGGAGATATTCAAATGGGACTTGTGATTGAATTGTAGTTGAAGCTAACAGAGAGTGGAAGCGAATACCCCAAATTGAATTGCCAGGTTTCACACTGCCTCATAGGTGTAAATAGTAATGACTTTTTTGTTGTTGCTGTGATTGCATTTATTCTGCATGAATTAGAGTAATGTTGCAAGTACAAATTTTGCTGCTACCGACTGGAAATTAAGGAGCGGTCCCACAAATATTACCCCACGATTATACTTAGTAATATTCTTGTTACTGTGTCAAAACACACATGATTAAATGCGTTTTTCTTATATCATCTTCCATATTAAAATGTTTGGTTCATACCAAGAAACCCTCATTATGTGTTTTCCTTATTAACCTGTTAGCAGTCGGACGTACCGCCCACGGTACATTGGATGGTTTAGGGGACTAATTGTAAATTTGTAGGACTGCTAAGGGGTTAATAATCCTCTGTGTCTACAATCTGTATTTTATACATTACATTACACATGCAACACAACCACAATTGCATGCAGACAATATTTACTTCACCAGATTTCAGCACAAACGTCTCAGTGTCATAAAATCAAACTTGTAATTCTCATTTAGATGCCTTTTTCCCAGTGTATCCCCCTTTAGAACATCAGAGGTCATAACCTGTGTTTACACAGCGGGATCATTTGTTCTCCAGGTACTTCTAACAGGTCAGCTTTGCTTTCATCTCACTCTCATTGTAAAGGAGGTCATAATCGTATCCAGATAAATAGAAAATACTGGCTGCTAATAAGACTCATCATCCATTCACAGGAGTTCTTATTTATTTGTTTGTTTGCTACATTTAAAAAACTAAAGACAGATATAGGATAAAACAGACTGAACAGAAAATTTAAATCATAGTGCTGACACGTGTTAAAACAATGCAACTGTTTGTGATGTGAACAGTTGAGCTATTTGTTCTAAACTCTGACAAGATGAGCTGAACTAAATTTCTAAGTCCAATGCTTCTGTTATTAGGTTAGGCCAAAACCGAGTCACAAAAAAGGTCTACACACACAGATTCACTCACAGGGTCTTGGACTTCATATATTTGGGGATATTAGCCAAAGTATTACAACACAACTTCCTCTTTGCCTTAATTGCATGTATCCATTTTGTATTTTCTAAGCAGTTACAAAGTTAGTAATTTGTGATCATCAGATTTTGGATAAAATAGATAGATACTCCTAAAAGTGTATGAGGAAAAATAGTGAAATTCCAGCCCAATAACACAGGAATTACACTGCATAATTGCAGGCATCTTAACAAAAATGTTGCGACAGCTGCGATGAGGCTCAGGATTCATCCAGGGAAGGGCTGTGTTACTGCAAACAATTCCATGCAAAAATTTTCCATTTACAAAATGAGAAACATGCAAACAGTGAAAACAAAACTCTATTCATACGTGCAGACGCAGCCAGACGTTACATACCAGCCAAAATGACTCACATATTTTCTAATTCAGTACTCTCTGTTCATGCGGCATCTATTCTGAGCTGCGTCAGGAAGCTTTGTTAATCATATTTGGGCCTGAGAAAGTTCATTTACGAATGCTTTTGTTGTCACATTGGCCTGTAGTGAGCTCTGTGTTCAATGCCTAACCATTTTTGCCAGTGATTCACCACCATTTGCAGTCAATCTTCAGTTTGAACTTCTACCCACTCACGTCTAACTTGACAAAGTTACAGAAACGAAAAATAATGGCAAAAATGTGTTTTTTAAACGCATTTTTGTTAACGCGGACAGATTTGATATGGAGTTTTTTCTTCAAGCATTTCGGCAGCACTTCTTCCACGTAGTAGAATCAGGTCTTTAATCTCCTTGAATCCACTCTAAGCCTTTAAGTACTTGGTAATATCCTCTTAACGTGACATAGGTGTTATCAACTTGATTTAATAAATGTGCATGACTAGCAATGGCCAGGCTAATAGAACAGACTATCCCCCTCACAATTGGCTTCGCCTTGTTAATTCTTTTGTTTCTTTTACTTCATGGTCTGAGTAATGCTTCATCTGGAGAAAAAAGGCACACAGGAGAAAGATTTGTGAAAAAAGAGTGCATCAAATTCGCTGCAGCAAATTAAAAGTGAATTAACAGCAAATTTAAAAAGACCCATAGAGATAGGCAAACAAGAAACTACCTTTGATTTGATTTGATTTTACTTCAAGTTTTGAAGGTGAAGCTTTTAAACTTTCCATCTCAGTTAAAATGATAAAAATTACATTGTGATTTCAGAGTTTATTTAACAGAAAAATGAACACATACGAGAAATTGTTGTATCATTTACCAATTACATTATTAACCCCCCCCTAACACATGGTTATGAAATGTGAAGTCAAGCAAATATGAAAAGATTTACAAATCAGCTTTCATCTGACTAAAGGTCACAGACGGATAAATATCCATTTGGCCAGATGAGAGATAAAAGAGAAACATTGTCATTATAGTTTTTTAATCTCTAACAATTATTGCCAAAGCAATGCATATCAGATCCTAACCCACAGTCAGTGTCTTTGCTAGCACTGTTGTCATGACTTTGTTTTTAATAAACAGTTTCATTATGCAACCTCTCACTGTCTGAGTGCCGAGTCCATATAGCACTGGGTTGGCAATGGTTGGAATGATGATAAAGTATAAAGACAGGAAGATCTGTGCTTCGACAGCCACATGACTCATGTTAAATCTGGTCTGGATTACTTCAAAAAGGGAAGCAATAGTGTAGTTCAACAAAGACAACAAGTGTGGGACACACGTTCTAAAAGCATTGGCTTGAGATTCTTTTGGAAATGTCCTACATACTCTTAAAATGTGTGCGTAAGAGAAAACTATCATCACTAATTGGGGGACTATAAAAAGCACAAGAATTGCAAGTCCTACAGTGCTTATGTACTGTGCATTTGTGCATGAATTTTTGACCAGTTCCATGTTCACACAGTACAATTTTGGCATGACTTTTCCACAGAAGCGAAGCTGTAAGGTAAGGGAGTAAAAAGATGTAAAAACAATAAATGGGTATAGACCTGTAAATGCAATGAGCTTGCATGTTTTTGAATAAGACATGATGCTGTAGTAATGGAGTGGGGAACATATTGCAATATATCTGTCATATCCCATAAGAGCTAAAATGCAGAACTCCCCACTTGCATATGTGTGCAGGAAATAAGCCTGAGCCATGCACCACTTCACGGTCACGTCGTGCGTTTTTGATACGAGCACAGCCATGACTGCAGGTAACAAAGTGCTGCTGCCGTAGATTTCATTAAGGGACAGCATGCAGGTGAACACGTTCATAGGCTGATGCAGCTGTTTGTTTTGGTGTATAACAGAAATGAGCAGTACATTCAAAACAAGGGTAATGAGGTAGAGCAGGAAAAATACACTAAACAGCCCATGTTTGTAGTTTTCCATGACAGCATACGCAGTCATTTTGAATGTTGCTGCAGTTGTGTTGTCCATGTTTCAGTTCAGTTCTGAAAAGAAAAAAAAACATGAACTTCAAAATAAATATATGACATATTAATGACACATAAAATACACACTGGACACAGTAAAAGATATCAGCATGATCGGTTATTTCTAAAGTGTTCAATCATGATTTGTTGATTTATTGATTTTATGGTGCTGAGTTTAACCTAGATTTGCCACTGAAGTTCATAGTTATAAAGCTGTACAGTTACAGGTTCAGTGAGCAGGAATATACAGAGCATTTAGAAGCTATTTTGAGCCTACTGTACCTGTTTCTCCTCCTCTCCTTACTGCAGAGTGCGCTGCTTAAGTGGGCAGTCTTTTATCGCAGCTCAGGGTGGGTTAGTGGTGTGCTGATCTCTCCTGTTACCATGGTGAAAAAAAAACGTCCCTCTGCTTCACAAACCCCTTTCAACTGTCCTTTCCTCCTATGCACATAATATAAATACCATAAAGGTCTTGCAAATAGATATAGATATTAAATGACTAATCGATACATCCACTGGAGACTGGACATTTCATTTAAAAGCTTTTAGTGCTTGACATTTATTTCCATTCTGCTGTATTTTACATTTATGCTGCATTTTCTTGAAAACACATAAACGTAGCTTGCTGAAGTCTTAATTCTTACTTGCGTTGCTCAATCATTCGCCATGAATCATTTGTCGGCCTGATTAAATGAAGCAGTTTGACAGTTAAAAGTATTGTTAATTTCCCAAATTTGACCTATAAGCAGTGGACAACCTAACGCACATGTGTTTGTGTGTATGTGTGTGTATGGTTGCTATAGCCTGATATTATACACTCACTTATGCTCATGCATGTACACAAGGACAAGACTGCTAAAGTTCAAACCAAGCATCAGAATGGGGAAGAAAGGTGATTTATGTAACTTTGAATGTGACGTGGTTGCTGGTAGACAAGCTGTTCTGAGGATTTCAGAAGCTGCTGAACTACTTTTACCACACAACCATCTCCAGGGTTGACAGAAAAAAGAAGGGCTGGGTGAAAATGTCTAGTTGATGTCAAAGGTCAGAGAAGAATGGGAAGACTGCCTAGAGCTGATAGGAAGCCAACAGTAATTCAAATAAACACTCTTTACAAGCAAGGTATGCAGAAAAGCATCTCTGAATGCACCACATGTCTGGGCTACAGCAGCAGAAGACCACACCAGGTGTCACTCCTGTCAGCTAAGAGCAGGAAACTGAAGCTTTTCTGTTAATCAAATTTGGTAAGAGTGTGTTTGTGTGTTTGCTGATGGGGTCTGTACATTTTCTAGGCTCCTAGACAGCTTTAATGCTATAAGAGACTGGACAGGGAGAGACAAAAAGATCTCCAACAAGTCAACACTTAGTAGATGGAGTTTTGGACTGGTTCCCCCGTGACCATACAGATCCCCGTTCTAGTTTTGATCAGTGCATGTCCTCTGGTGCACACATTAAGCAGCTTCACCACTTTCTATCAAAGAATCACAATGAAAGTAAGTGTAGATTCAAAAGAATATGAGAAATGTTCGTGCATGCCTTGAGCTCTTCTTATAATATCAGAGTTCACATTTCTCTTTACTTACCAAGTCAGCCCTTGGGTAGAATTGTCAGAATGCTGCTGCTAGACTACTTACTAGTTCAAACACACATCACCCCACTATTATTTTTCCACCAGCGCCGGGTCGTGCCAGGATCCAGATCAAATTTCCCCCTTACATACAGAGAAATAAAAAGTTTGGCTCCTGCATATGAAGCTCAGAGCCACTCATCATCTTAAATTTTGCATTGCCTTTAATTCCAGCATTCTGTGCTCTAAGGTTTAGTAAAGGTCCACAGTGCCCAAGAACCAGACAAAAACTAATAGCAAAACAGGCCTCAGTGTCAAAGCTGGTCTTGCAACAGCCAAACCTTAAGTAAGGAGGCTGTCCGTTCTGTGAAAGAGAAGTCAAATCTGAAATCTTTTGCTGATTGCCTTTAAAAATCAAGTCTATAGAAGCTAAAGGAGGACTCATGTTGTGTTCACTTTCCACTGAGCTTTTAGGCAAGGCCTCCATAAAAATAACCAGCCTGACTTGGCCCTTATATCATAACTTGTTAAGGCCACGCGAAGCGTTTAAAAGGAATTCCATACATTCATGCCTGACTCTGTGTTGCTGAAGAGTTTCTGAAAATGACGATTTGGAATATATTTATTAAACATATTTCAAGATTCAAGAAGTTTATTGTCATGTACCCAGCAAAACACAAACGGTTATGCAGAGCAATGAAATTCTTACTTTGCAGAATCTTAAATATCAGCAGCTTGTGTTTAAAACATTCATTTAAAACCTGATTTATTAACTCGGTTTCCATAAACTAAAGATTGAAACAGAAATATATGTCTTTAAATTTGAGTTACATTTTTTTACATAATTTTTTGGTGTATTTTGAAGGGTACACAAGGTATCATCTGCCAATGATGCCACTAAAAAAAAGTTAAATCTGAAGAGTTACACATTACCAGGTAAACACATCATAGGTCATTAGTCCACTTTGTATTTCTATTCCTCTAGAAAGCAATTAGATACCACTGTTTTGCCACAGGTGAGACCTCTTTGGACAGCACCTGGAGGATGGAGACGAGGGCTGAGAGGAAAACAGTAGTAATGACATCCCTTTGGAAAAAAAA